AGATTTAGAGTGTGTTCACACTTTGATTCCTTTTTTTTTTTTAGTTTGGACCAAAAAAGGATCTACCAAACATCCCAAACTGGGCTAAATGTGCTCATTGTATGTTGTGTGTACATATGGTGGCATTTTTACCAGTTGAGAACTCACAAGAGCTTATAAAATGCATAAAGGAGCCAAAACAGCGCCAGGAATACCTCAGTTGCACACACAAGTGAAGATCTCCTGCAAGGAGATGGGGTTTTGATCCCTAGTGCTGAACTGTAATGGGCAACATAGCTCCTATGAGGAGAAGAGAATGTTTTTGGTTCATTTAGATGTCTTTGGTCTGTTGCGTTCATATTTTAGTTTAACTGCACCAGAGTTTGAAATGGTGGGTCTCAGTCTGCTTGTTTGGTGCTCCCCAGGTTTAAATGGCAGTGTTCACACATATTCAGATGGACCACACTAACAGAATAATCAAAACAGAGTCTGCTTTAATCAAGCCAAACCTGCCAAGTGTGAACACACCCTTAAAGTGCAGTGTGTTTATCACGCTATCAGGCATAAACTTGAGCTTCCGGTCAAAATGACAGACTTTAGTGATGTATGCCAGATCTCTCTAATCATTTAGTTTGTTTGAACCCCGCCCCTCTGCAATCAACAGCAAGCTCATTTTCATTTTTGAGTGCAATGCCCACATCTCAAAATTCAATCAAAATCTTATGGATAGAACCAAGTCCCCGTCCTACTTTTTTTTTCTTTTCTTTTTCAAAAATCAGTTGCACTCAGATATACGTCACAATAAAGAAGAAAATATCTGTTGCTGCAATAGATCTCCTATAGCTAGATCTTCTAGATATGGCTTACAGGCAAACATTCTCAGCTTAAGTTGATTATGAGTCCGGCATCTGACTCTGAAAGAGAAGTAAGTGTTGTGCTGGACTCACATAACTCAGGACGAGGAATTCCTACATTTCCTAAATTAAGTGATATCTGGAGAATGAAAATTCTCAACTTATCCTCATTTTACTCAATATGTACGTTTCCTTCCATAGAACGCAAAAGGAGTTAGCTAGCAGAATGTTATGGTTGCTCTTTCCTGTCCATATACATTTATATATACAAGAATAAAGTGACTTAAATTGCATTGAAGGTATACATTTTTTCAGGTTACACATTGTCCCATGACCTTGGCATTTCTAGTGTTTGAGCTACCGAAATGCAATAAAAGCACAATTTACATTTATGAATTTGGCAGATATTTTAAATATATATTTCAATCAGTTCTTGCATTCCCTGGGAATCAAACCCATGACCTTTGCTAGTGTCATGCTGTACAATTTGAGCAATGCTTGAGCAGTGCTATATTCTGTCTCCTCAAGCCATACGATAGGAGGACCAATCCAAAATTTAAGTTGCTATTCATTGGAAATCTTGCCATCGCTCACTTGCCACACTTCAGAACACCTTACCAAATAATAGAATTTTTACAGTCTGCTTCTACGTTTTTTATTATCGGTTGCTCAACTGAAAAACTCTTCTGAATGAAAGTGGTACAGTCTAGCAGGTGGTTTGTTTCCTTCGGATGAAATAATGGTGGAATGAAGTGGAATCATTTATGCAACAGAATGAACTTCCGTCGTGCAGTCATATGATGGCCTACTTAGAGCTCATGCACAGGAAATAATGAGTACACGTATTCATAGCAATGAGTTATATATGAATGGAGGAGAGCAGTGCACCCTCAGCCATCTGTTATCTTAGTATCACTACCAGTCAGTGGAACACCAGAGATGCCTGGAGAAATGGGTTAGTGAAATGAGAGAGGGAGCATAGTGCTTGGGTTTAGAAGAATAAGTAGTTGATTTTTACATGACCAGTAGAAGACATCTCAAAATGAAGACATCAAATTTAGCTGATGGGTTTGGAATCTTTCTTTTGAGGAACTTCCCAGCTTCTCACTTTGGTTTACATTACATTTTCATTTATAAATTTAGAAGACACTTTTATTCAAAGTGACTTACAAATGAGGAACGCTACAACACAAGCAATTCATCCAAAGGAGAACATAAGAGTAATGTAAGAAGTGGAGCAATATGAAGTTTAGAATAGCTGAAGAGAATACCAAAGTTATTGAAGGGATATATCACTCTTAAAATGAATATTCTGTCTTCACTTACTCACCCTCGTGTCTTCCATTCCACCAAAATTTTTGACACAAATAAAAAAGTTAATCAAGAAATCGTAAAAGTAATCCATATGAATTAAGTGGTTTAATCCAAGTCTCCTGATGAGACACGATCACTTTATATGATAAACAGATTTAATTGAGGCTTTTATTCACATATAAACAGTGACCAATGCACATACATCAAACAAGATCAACGGCAGCTCAACCGTATTTGCATGAGGTGCAAGAACAAAGCTCACTGGTTCTTGCAAAAGCTTAAAGTGCTTGTGTGACACGTGAGAATAAACAATACTGGTTCTCAAGCCATCAAGAAAGCACATTTCATCTTATGTTTTGAGTGTCAAGGTTTTGGTGGAATGGACTGTCAATGGTGGCATAGAAATCTCTCAATGCAATTAAAAAATATCATTATTTATGTTTAAATCAAAGGTGATTTAAAGTATTTTGGTTTGGAGTGACACGAGTATGCGTAAATGATGACGGAATTTTCATTTTGGGGTAAACTAAACCTTTAATTAAAAATAATTCAACTGAAAATGAAATTCTGCAGTCATTTACTGACCTTCATCTCAGTGGCCAGGGGCTGTCAAGCTTAAACAACAACAAAAAACACCAGAAAAGTGAAAACATGAAAACCAATGGCATTTGGTTCTGTAGACTAATTTTATGGTGCTTTTTTTTGGCCTTTTTTGGAGCTTAAAGGGTTAGTTCACCCAAAAATGAAAATTAGCCCATAAATTACTCACCCTCAAGTCATCCTAGGTCTATTGTTCGTTACTTCTGAGCGGCGCATGCGCAAAGCCGAACTTATACGTCATCCGCCCGGAACTGCTTCCGTTTACAACAGTGAGCGCAAGCTAGATTAAAGTGATTATTACGTTTTGAATATGGATATTTTTCTTAAAAAAACGCATCGATTCGCTACAGGAGGACTTTGTTCACCCCCCAGAGCCGTGTGAGAGACTTTTTTTATGGGTGGGTGCTTTTTATTTCACTTCTTTTGGACTGAAGCAATGCAACACCCGCTGAGTGCCATGAAACAGCTTGAAAGATCAAAGACAATTTTTTCTATAACTCCGACTGGATTCGTCTGAAAGAAGAAAGTCATACACACCTAGGACGCATTGAGGGTGAGTAATTTATGGGCTAATTTTCATTTTTGGGTGAACTAACCCTTTAACCGCCACGGGTCACTGTATGCTTTTATATTATGGAAAAGAGCTGGGTGAGCATTCTTCTAAAGATCAACAAAATGATTCATGAGGGCAAGTAAATGATGACTGAATGTTACTTTTTTGCTTGAACTACTCCTTTAATCTCTTGATTATTTCTTAAACTGTTTATTTTAATCTTGAAATGCTCAGTTAAACACCCGCTGAAATGTGTAAACATTCATACTATGTTACCCACATGCAGTGCTCAATTCTGCATTACATGTATGTTTACTACAGTAATGCATGCTGGGTACTGGGGGAGGGACAGGATGAAATAAGCGGATAGTGAAGAAGAAAGGAAAGAGAAGGGGGAGAATTGAAGAAGAGTGAGCCACACAGATGACTCACTGCCTGGGTTCAAGCTAAATACCACAGGCTGGTTTGCTAGTTCATATACAGTAGTTTCTTGGCTAATATACAGATGAGTTACCCACTCTACAAGCTTAAGATATTTTCACATTTATTCTACAACATAAAATACATCAGTAATACCCCCTTGTGATTTAAAAAAAAGTTTTTACTAGTTTTGAAAAAGGCAGTTGCTAACAAGTGGCCAAATGGAGCTACAGAGGTTATCATCACACCGAACAGGTAAACTACTCACTAGTCCGCTTTTATAGCCTCATTATGTTTATAATATGCTCTTGCAAACTATTCTAAAATGTTTTTTAAGAGTTGTTGGAAGTTTTAGTGACACTGAAGTCATGCAACCGTGGTGTAGTTCATTTATAGCCTATGTTTAGCTTTTTACTTCTACTGATTGTATTTAGGTTTCAAAATTCGTAAAAGTTGTTTAAACGTAACGATTATCATGATGAACAAAACTTGTAAGAATCATAAACGTTTGTTGGTCTCGGAGCTTATTTTCTGCAATAATCGAAAAGCCAGAGGAAAAATCGTATTGGATTTTTGTTGAGTGAAACAGGGTGATGCTACTTCTGGGTTGACCTACAAAATACATCATCACTGCAGCACTTTATTACCACGGATGGTTTTACCTGCATCCTGCCCCTCTCCCTGGATGCCTTTAACTAGGTCTAATCCAGTGGGACTTCCCCTCTATTTTGGGCAGTAGTTCTGTTTTAGATCTGCGCACACCCAATTTCCACTATCATCTTTATCATCCATTGTGACTTCATCTCAAGCCTGGGATTTATCAGACCAAATGGAAAACACATTTGTCCATGGAAAAGTCTAACTTTTCCCATCATTGTATTTTTGCCTCTTTCAAAATATATTGGATAAAGATTAAAGAACAAAAATCTAAGACAAACAGGCCCGCACCATTGAATCAACCGGAAGCTAACAATTAGAGCTATGATTGTGTTTACACTTTGGTGTAATCAACCTAGAATTGGTTTATTTAGAGATATCTCTGCACTTCAAACAGGGGTAGCGAGTATTTTAACATCACCCGTAAAGAATATCAGTGATCTAGCTGCAGTTCCTCTACTGGACTGTTTTATTTATAGACTGTACTCATGTCCTCTGCACATACATGGTGAAAATGAACTGGTTCTGGATTATGAATTCACTACTTTATGATTATGTAAAGCTAGATTGTCTCACAACTCATTTGTAAATGTACAGGCCAGTACAAGTACAAATATCAGAGTATGAGGGTCATGAAGGGTGGGACGAGGTTTATGGTTTCACTGTAAGACTGGACTAGTCCCAAGTATGCAGTGACAGTCTCTGGCACTGTGCCTCAGACAGGGATAGTGTCAGTGTATCATGTGAGGCAAGTTTTATGTGTAGGTTTTTATTTATTTATTTTTATATATTTGTTTATTTTGTTAGAAGGAGAGTTTTACTTTGGCATGCATAAGGATTCATCTGCCTATTGTATGTTTTTTTCTTATGTGTAATTTCTTTGACATGATGGTCATGCTATCCTTTCAGAGATTTCCTACCAAGAGGCTCAGGAATTGTTACAAGGAGACCACTTGTCCTTCAACTCATCAGTTCAACTTCAGGTATAAGTGATACACACAAACACATATATTTTAGTTGTAGTACTCAATTAGAGATCAGGTAACAAATCATTGACTATGTGTTCGGAATAGCTTGATATAATTGGATATATGTATAAAAAAAAGTATTTTCACCATTTTTGAAACAAAAAATTGGATTAAAAATATTTTTAAAAATAGATTCCACTCTCTGAATTGAATATACCACTTAATGATTTCATGTGACAACAGTGTAGAATACTACTTTTTGGTTGGGCTTTTACTACAGACCTAGACAAAATATAACAACCAACAAACAATCCAAAATTGAAAACACAATAAAAGCACACACATTCAACAAATATCCAATTAACCCTCTGGCCCTCTTCGGTCATTTTTGGCCCCAAAATTTTATATTTTAAAAATCTTAGTTTCATCGGAATGAGATGACACTTGGTCACTTTTGTCACATTAGCAATATGAACACACACAAAAATCATGGACATGATTCGGATATGTTAAAGGGTCATAAAAAAAT